GAAAACGCCAGCAGAAACAGCTGATCTGAAAGTGGTTACTTCTGGGGGGTGGGTACAGGGAGGAGTACACACAAAGGACTACTGTTTTTTATTTTAGCTTTATAAAACTATTTGACTTTTTAAACTAGGAGTATATATAACTTTGTTTTTAAAAACACAGTTCAAAAATACAAGTTTCTAGGTCCCACTCCTGACTGAATGGACCAGAACCTCTGAGGATGAATCTGGGAAATCAGCATTTTAAACAAGTACCCAAGCTGATTCTTATGTACATTACAGTTTGAAAGTCACTACCCTAGCAATAAACCACTTGCCTTGAATGTATTAAACCATCATTTTCGTTAACTGTGTAGTCTACCATTTCTGACCAAGGGGATATTCCCTCAGTTGAGGAAATCATTCCTGAGTCACTCTGGAACAGTCTAATTTACATAGCAATTATTTACATAGCAACTTACTTCCAAAGAGTGCTTAGTTATTTGCTGATCCCAGTAATTCATTATTCTTCAAAAAGAGGGGCAAATCGTTAAGTTTTATCCACCCACTGCACAGAGAAATTGAAGAACAAGACCAATGGTCCAGAAAAGATCAAATTACAGTAAGGAATAAAATCTGTCAGTAAACATTTTGTGATCACTACATTGATTTTGTTACAGTGGAAATTCAAAGATGAATTCCCCTATCTCAAAGAGCTCAGATATCAGCACTTATACTCCATTTGCCTACAGAGATCAAAGACTTCAGCTGGTCAGCTAATCTCACTCCAGCACCCATCTCCACCTCTGAGCCCAAGCCCATTTATTTACCCCTTTCTTTCCACAATTCTTCTCTAATTCTGTGAACCCTATTTTTTAATATTATGCAAGTTAGCAACATTTAACAAAATGTTTGATAATTATACTCAATGTTATTTTAAATAGAACAGATAAGATGAAAAAGTCAATCCAATTTTGAAACTGACAAAGGAAAAAAAGACGTCCCTAACACATACATTTTTTTCAGAATAAAGATTTTTAAAACCTTTATATTTCGGGTCCTACTAGATGATTTTCCACTTTATTTTTCCAAGTAGCAGATATCTTAGGTAACAGATGAGCATATTCAAGTTATTTCCTCCAAGAATTAACAATAGAAACTTTAAATCTCATACAAGTTTTTTTGCAAAATTTAATCTATTCAATGAGAACTTGAGATAATGAATGCTATAAATAACACATAGCATTTTAAAAAAAATAGCTTTTGTCTAATTTTAAAGAAAATGATACACTATAACGTGGATTGCAAACCCAAGACATATACTACCAACCTTACCTCAAACAATGTTTTATATGGCTTCAAAAGAAAACCTATTGGTGGGTATATAGTTATAAATCAAATTTTAATGTCTTCATGAATCCAAGTAAACCCAGTTTAATCTGAAATAAAACTACTATGCTTGCTGATTTAAATAAATGTGTTATCTGCACTTTAATTAAAGAACTCCAAGAAGGCATTTTGTTGTTGTTGTTCAGAAAACATTTTCTTCTAATTATTCAAAATAGTTCCTGGAGGCTTTTTCCTTATTTCAGCATTTCTCATGGGCTCTGGAATATCTACCTCAAAGTTTGCATTTCAAAAGAACAGTAAATAAGGTGTCTGCTTTTTAAAAACTCACAATAACATTAAATCTATCAGATGGTACTAAATTTTAGTATTCATTCACCAAATATAAGCAACTATTAAAAAGAATCCATTGTATATGAATTTAAAAATATAAACTCCCCTAATATTTGTAAATGAAACTTACCTGCCAATAGCAACTCTACATTTTATAGGCCACTAAAACATCAATGCAGCTCTGATGACTCAGTGGTTAAGTGTTGGGCTGCTAACCAAAAGGTCGACAGTTCAAATGCACCAGCACTTCCTTGGAAACTCTATGTGGCAGTTCTACTCTGTCCTATAGGATCGCTCTGAGTCCAAATCAACTCGACAATAATGGGGTTTTTAAAAATCTTAATATAGGGCATGGTTATAACCTAAAAAGTAATGCCACATCTGCACGTGAAACTTTAACGTAGTAACTTCTCAAAACAACTGTTACTACTAATTAGATGAAGAAACTCAAAGAGATCAAGTTCTGAGTTTAAAAATGAAAACAGCTAAATTGACTAGAGCATCGTTCTGTATTAAGCAAAGCCAACTTTTTGATGTAGGACTCTGATCAAAATACTGCCAATTGATCAGAGTATTGCCATACATCAGTATATATATATCAATTACACTGATTTAGTTTCTTGTCTTTGCCGTGTCCTTTTTCCGTAACATTGGCAACTTATTTGGCTCTCCTTTTTTGAATCAGAGGAGCTTATTCGTTCTTTGTTTTCAAAAGAGCCCACTTGTTCTTAAAGTTTCAGAGAGATGAAACTAATGATTTTAGTGGTTGGAATGCACTGATGGGGCCCACACAAATAACTCTTTCATAGGTAGATTTTATTCAGGTTCCTGAATGAGGACAAAAACAATATATTTATGTTTCCATGGTTCTGAGGTTCACAAGAAACAGCTACTTTATTTTTTTTACTAACATCAGGTAGTCTTAATTATTAAATGTTTGTAAATGAATCAGATTTAATGGATTGAAGCAATATTGCCATCAATGGTTTTTGAAAGTGAATTATTAAAATCTAACAAAAAACCTCACATAAAACAATTTTTGCCCTCTAAACTCTTTTGATAGAAATATATTTTACAATTTCCATTAATACATAATTTTAAAACCATTTCTTTTTTCTAAAAATCTTACAAACGCACTAAATTTATGATACAGTAAATTTCAAAGATAGTGAAAACTATAAATTATAACCATAGCTTGAAAATTCTAATTTTTCACTTTATAAATACAGCACACATTTTTATTTTAATAATTCTAGGATACAAAAACTATTTCTGCAAGTCATTAGGAAGAATCACAAATATTTGGAAGTCCATAGTCACTGACCTTGAACACGAATTTTAAAAAACAGCATTATCTACTGGGTACAAGAACAAAATGAGACAATCCAAATGTCCACCAACAGATAAATGGATTTTGTTATTCATACAACAAAATACTACAGAGTGATAAAAATCAATGACTGTGGCTTCTCTCATCTGCATGGATCAATCTTAAATTTTTTGAGCAAAAGAAGTAGGTCATGGAAGAATACCTACATTATGATTTCATAAGATTCAAAGAGGCAAAACTATAAATACAAACAAGGGAGTGATTAACAGAAAATTTACATAGGGAGAAAGAAGGGAATGTAATTAAAGAGGACCCACAGTGCGCATCAAAGGGTGATGTTCTATTGTGATTTAAGTACACAGGTATATGTTTTATTATTCATCCTTAAAGTGTACATACATTTTATATACTCTGGAGAAAGTGAGAGATAAGCAAGTGGAGACAATATATATGGAGCACTCTTTTGAGACCTTAATTGAAATCTTTTCACCTTAATTGGAGTGTTAAGAAATAAAAGAGTAGATGGGAGGAAATGTGTTCAGATTTTTGTTTTGCTCTTATGCTTTTTAAGATACGAAAAAAAGAGCATCTAAATGCCATAGGAAGAAAGGTTCCATTAGAGGGGGGAGAAGTTCAAGAAATAGGAGAGGATAACTCACGTAGCAAGTTATCTGAGTACAATGAAAGGAACAGGACCCAAGGCACACCTGAAGAGACTAGCCTTTGAAAGGAGGTAACCTACCCAATTCAATCAAAGGGAAGAGAAAAGGATAGAAACCAGTGCAGTAGATTTATACATCCGTGAGTGAAAGCTGAGATAGGTCATATTTGATAGCTTGTTCCTCTTCAACGAGGCAAGGTCATTAGCTCAGAGTGAAGGGCCAGGGTTGGTTTTGATAAAAAGTGAAGACAACATGAAACTGTTTTGGACAGAGAGAAAGAACTGTCCACAGATAAGTGCAAGTGGACTCTTGGGCACTTCACCTTACCTGTTTCCTGCCTCTTTGCCTAGAATCTATTTCCCCTTTATACCCAGAAAATCTGCCCATCCTTCAAGACTCCTGTTAGGTTCTACCTCCTCTGTGAAACATTTTCCGACTATTCCACGGTAATCTTTTCCTTCTACATCTTACAGCAGTTGACTGTATCCCTCATTTTCACTTAATCACACACTATCTTACAATAACTCTGAGTCATACATGATTTAATTTTCATGTGTTCTTTCCTTAACTATAGTTCTCAACGACAGAAATCATGTCTTTGTTCTTTTTTTTAATACTGCCCCTCCCACTTTTAGAAAAACAGTGCATTCTAATGCATACAGTGAACATTTAGATATATTCTCTAAATATATCATCTATTGAAACAAATATCCTTGAAGTAAATGATGCAATAACAAAGACATACATGGATAAGTACAGAACTTTGAATCTGCCATTGTTTTCTTATAACTACTTCTGGTTTTCAATTTTTGGTTTTAGAACCTACTTTTTAGAAACCAAGTCACACATCTGTTAACACATAATTGGTTAATTTTTTTATTTAAACAAATCTCTCCTGCCCATTAAGCTATCAAAAAAATTTCATCATTACAACCAGTGGTGTCACTGGGGGATATGGGGGGGGGTGCAGACCGCAGCAGGTGACACTATCAGAGGGGGTAACACCAAAACAACTGTCTATAAAATTTTTGTGCAGTGTTTCAGCAGAAATTTATTTTTTATAAAATATATCCCTGTAGTCTTAATAAAAACCTTCTTCGTAAGCCTGGCTTACATGTATCAATATACCTGCAAGGCTAAAACTCTTATTTTTGAACATTCTAATGCGCTCTGGAGTCCTAGTGGTCCAGTAATTAAGAGCTCAGCTGCTAACCAAAATAGCAGCAGTTGGAATCTACCAGCCGCTTCTTGGAAACCCCACGGGGCAGTTCTACTCTGTCCTACAGGGTCGCTCTGCGTCGGAATTGACTCAACAGCAATGGGTTTAATGTGCTCTGGTCAGAGCTGTCATTATTAACCAATTACAACAACGTTTCAAATCACGTGGTTTTGTCTACACCAGCTACAAGCACGTGCTGTTGTTTTTGTTGCTGCCGATGTTTTTATAGTCACTGGCTCTGTCAAATTTTCCGGTATTTTAGCTACAATACTGTGGTAATTGGTATTTGTGAACCTGTATCAATAACTTTTTTGACAATGAAGTAATGATTAAGGGAAAAGAAGGAGTGATACACGGGAATTACGATTTATGAGTAACATTAGTACAAAAAACATTACTAAAGATCCTGTATAGTCTGTTATGGGAGAAGGTCCATGTGGAGGGGGAGTTGTGACACCATGACTGACCACACTAGGTGACACCAACCCCAGTGACACCACTGATTACAATTTTTAATATATTTCTTGAAGTAGGCAGTTCTCCCAGAAAATGAAGCAGAATGTTAGCAGCAAAGACAAACTATGTTAGGAATGCCATCTTGTGGTTGAGAGTAGCCCATTACATTTATAGTTCCTTTCAATGACAATCTTTAATTCAGAAATAAAACATTCAGTAAATTCTCACAGGTAAATCATGATTAAAGTGTATGACTACTACAAAGGAGTAAAAATGAAATATATACATCTGTTGTTGTGTGTGACTTTAGCTGTCAAAAAGACAATGTTCATTGATAAGACAGACAAGAGACAACTTATATGGGAATGGACTCCAAATAATATAAGAAAACTGTTGTCTGTAACTACAAATATACTTCTATTAAGACTATTCAAATACTTTTAATTTTGGAAAATCTTCCTCTTGGAATATTTTGTATCCAATACGAAATAGTTCTATTGATTATTAAAAACCCGTTGCCATCGAGTCAATTCCAAACAATTTCAAAGAAAGTGAAAGCTAGAAATTATAACCAGCTTGAAAACTGGTAACAATTTTTCATTTTATAAATACAACCCTATAGGGTATAGCAATCCTATAGGATGGAGCAGAACTGCTCCCCAGGGTTTCCAAGGCAGAAATATATACGGAAGCAGACTGCCATAACTTTGTCCTGTAGAGCAGCTGATGGGTTCGAATCACTGACCTTTCGGTTAGCAGCCGATCACTTAATCACTGTGTCACCAGGGCTCCTATTGATTATTACATCCTGGATTTAAATTATGTCTTGGTTTTCAGACCTCTTCACTCTAATTATAAATACCCAAAGAGGAGTTAAGGATAGAGCATTGGTCTAATTTGGACCGTAGGATACACATAGTTAACTGAAGTCCAAAATGGAGCTTGAGGAGGGTTATAAACACTAGCTCTAATCTTAAATAGATGACCTTCCTCCATACAAGTTAGCCATTCTGAGTGGTAAATTAACTTTCTAGTCAACAGAGAACTAATATATAGTTACAGGTACAGTACTTAACAACTGTGCTTAAATATTTTATTTTCCAAATCATTAACAGATACTAGACATTTGGTCTACCTAAAGGCAAGGGTGAGGGAGAGGAAACTGATATATCCCTCATAATGGCAAAGCAAAGCACAACAGCACAAGGGCCCATGCACTACGCTACATCTTGTCACTTCTAGATTAAGATTCCAAGCAGCATGTGCAGGTACATGTTCAGTCCTAGAGATTAGGCTACTGAAATTCAAATTGATAAAAGATATATATATAAAATGACATATATATTTACTTAACAAAATGTTATTGTACTCCAACTTTTGAGGTTTATAATACATGCTTATCATCAGAAAAAAAAAGTCAGAAAACTTTCACATGAACTGCTTTTGTATTAGTCGTTCCACATGACTCTTCAGGACATTCACATCAGCTGAACAGACCTGACACTCCATCTTCTCTTGCTGTTTTGTTCTCTCTAATAAAGCCCCATGTGGTGGAGGTAATGCATTATATGAACTCAGTAAATAAAGTTGGCTTGATGAAGTTTGGTTGATTTCTTTAATCTTTAAAGCCTGCATGATAGCAGGTGAAAACTTTGAATAATGAGCTGTAGATGAGACAATCACTGGGCAAGTTTTATCTTGCATTCTATCTGCAACCACTTTTGCAACGGCAGTGTGTGGGTCCAAGATATATCCTGAAGCATTATAGGTGGAGTTAATAGCTGCTAGGCAGTCTTCCTCAGAGCACCAGTCGGCTACAAAATCCTGCTGAAGTTTCTCAACTAGAATCTTTTCTATCTGGAAGTGACACTGATCTTCTAATTGATTAAATAACTTTGTCATTAACTGTCCATCTTTATTAGCCATCAAGTGTAAATGTCGTTCCAGGTTTGAAGATTTGAGAATATCTATCGCCGGTGAAAAGGTCTGCACTAATTTTCTTTCCCTTAGATCATAATGTCCTGTTTTTATAAAATCAGTCAAAACATGGTTCTGATTAGAAGCACAAATAAATTTTCGAATAGGGATTCCCATCAGTTTGGCATACACTGCTGCTAATATGTTACCAAAGTTTCCTGTGGGAATACAGACATCTACTGGACTTCCAAAAGAAATAAATCCTTGGCTAACAAGATCAAGATATGCGGAAGCATGATAAATTACCTGGGGAAGTAGTCGGCCCCAGTTAATAGAATTAGCTGAACTTAAGACTGTTCCATATTCAACAGTGAGAAAGCCAGTAAAATCAGAATCATTAAAAATTCTTTTTACGGCTGTCTGACAAAAATCAAAATCTGACTTGACACCCACTGCCCATCCATTTTCTTTCTGACTGCCAATTATTTGTGCCTTTTGAAAATCACTTACTCCATTCTCAGGAAAAAATGTGACCACAGCTATTCTTTTCTTGTCATTGCTATTAAGATGACTAAAACCATTTAAGACTGCACTCCCTGTGTCTCCTGAAGTAGCTACAAGTATCATATAATTGCAATTTGGTAGAATACAGTGTGCAAAGAGATGAGGCATAAGCTGTAAAGATAAATCTTTAAACGATCCTGTTGGTCCATGAAACAACTCCAGGATGAACTGGTTGCCTGAAAGGTGCCTGACAGGGGCAATTCTGGAACAGGCAAAGTTTTTCCCATAAGCAGTTTCAATCATTTCTCCTAATCTGGCAGCGGGTATGTCAGCAGGATGTATACACTTTTCCAACAGTATTTGTGCTCTTTCTATGTAGGTTGCTCCTACTAGGCCTTTCCACTCCCCAGAGCTTAATTTTGGGAACTCCTTCTCAGGAACAAAGAGTCCACCGTCAGAAGCCAACCCTTCAATCACAGCTTCACTAAAGAATTTTGTTGAATTCTTCTGTTTACAGTTTTTAGGCCAAATGTGTCTTGTTGAAATGAATGTTTCTGAATCCACATTTTGGTATCTTTTTACTGCATTAAGCACTTTGTCAGCTACCTCCTCTGGAGAAGCTCCACTTTCACAAAACACACGAGCATCATACCACTTTTTATAATACTGTCTTCTAAATGCAAGTAAGTCTTTCATAGGTGTTCCAAAATTCTGACCTACAATTCTATTTATCTTCATTGATTTCAGACGATTAATTATATCAATCAGAGGTACATCCAAGTATACAATTATTCCGTTTTTCTTCAGATGCCACATGCTGGCATCATGCATTGGATTGGACCCAGTAAGGGAAATCACACTTCCAGATGCAGAGAAGTTTAACACAGCTTTTCCTTCCTCTTCTAAAAATTGCTCATTACCAACTTCCTGTAATTTTTCAGACACACTCATATTCCAGGTTTTTTCAAGGATATCATTATCCACATCTATGACACAACAACCTAGCTTCTGACCTATTATTCGGCCTATTGTTGTTTTCCCAGCACCAGGAGGTCCCATCAGGACAATATTTTTGTCTCCAACAAGAGTGTGGGTTGAGTGCCATGATTTCCTTAATTCTGCAAGTGCAAATGTTCTTGAAAGAATGAGCTGTACATATTTATTCGTTTTAACATGGATACTAGAAAAACATCTCTGTGTTATTTGTTTCAGATGCTGACATCGGTTGAAGTAGAGCATTGTCTTTTCACTTTTCTGCCCAAGCCCACCTGGCTTTAGTCCTTTACAAAACATAAAAACAAAAAAGACATTTGGTTACTAATTTCAATAGACTATTAAAATCCTGACAGGATTGAATATAACCATGCCCACAGTACATAAACTGTTTTAAAATCTTCCAAATTTGTAGGACATTTAAAAAAAGGTATTCCAACCCAAATTCCCATATATTGCATACTATCCCTTTAATATCTTTTCAAATCTCAGGACATTCATTGAAAACATCAAACCTTAGAAACTGATAACTATAAATAGAAATTTTTCATAAAATGCTGTATCACTGCTGCTTTTTAAAAAATATACTAAATCAAATTAGTATTTCTTTTCCTTTTATGAAATATTGTAATGAAAATTGGTTTATAACACATAAAAATAAGGATTATTTGGAGTTGTAGTACTATTTACTTATAATCTATAAAAGCTGAACAATATTTTTTATATTTATTTTGAACATGTGAAAGACTCATGTTACTCATAAATTTCTTAGTTATAGAATTCACAATAGGAAACTAAAGTAAAATAACATATTTACTTATGTTTAAATGATTTTTCAAGCAATGGGGCAAAGATATGACATTTTCTTTCTATATCTTTTATACACATGCTGTTAAGAGTCATTCTTACATATTTTTCATATGGAAGGCCTTAAAAAGAGCCAAAGTAAAAGGTATAAAATTATACCAAACAGTTAAGAAAAACTGATAAATCAGCAATAAGGTCAATGGCTACATATCATTAACCTCATCTGCACGGGACTATTGCTTTTGTTTCTGATCTTCTAAACATCACAAATGAAGGGACTTAACTCCAGACAGACTGCAGAGCGCTAGCCAAAAAACTCAGGAATGTTTCCAATGATGAGAGGAAAAATTTACTCTGGCATCCAAGGAAGCTCTATAATTCCCTGTACTGTTCATGTACCTGTCTTTGGAAATATACACCACCAAAACAAAAACATATGCCAGACAAGCCAAAATTTTAGCTATATGTAAGTGCAAATTAGTAAGAGCTGCAATGTTCATTTTAACTGACAGAAGTAGCTTTAGAGACATGTTGTAGGGCTTGTCAAATGTCCTATGGTAGAACCAGTATGCAACCAAGCTATAGTAGATGTCAGATAGTATATTTAATATGTTCTGAAAACTTTCAGTCATTTTCTACTATAATTATTCTGCTGGTCTGTATTTAAACCATTTTAATCTAACTGAATTTAATTTACAAGTAAAATTAGAACTGTCAAGAGAAGGTATTCATTTCCTTATTTGGCTTTTCGGGGTGTATGTGCTGTGCTTAATCCCACTGACTTGTAAACATATGACACACAGGAACCAATCTTGGATGAAGAGTTGGTAGTTTGTTGATTCTGAGGCAGCTGATCTTGGTAAAAAGGGGAGTCTGTAATGGAAAAAACTTAAAGTTAATCATAACTGCATTAAAAAAAAAAAAAAAAAACCATTGCCATCGAGTCGATGAAGACTCATAGTGTCCCTGTATGCATTGCTATGAGTCATAACTGCAGAGTATCATAAAACTTCACACAGACTAGTCAGTTATTCAAAAATCCACCTGAAATTTTAAGAGAACAGAAAAATAATGAATCGACCCTTTTCATGTTTCCTTGAATCTACTGTTAAAAGACCAAGACTGTTTTTTTTAAAACATGTATAAGTTTTATACATATTAAAGCAGAGAATACCAGAAAGATGTTTACCTGTGTTTTACTGGGGAATTCCAGAACACTTAATTGCGCTCATGAATAAACTGTACTTCAACCAAGAGGCAGTCATTCGAACAGAAGAACAAGGGGATACTGTGTGGTTTAAAGTTAGGAAAGGTATGTGTCAGGGCTGCATTCTTTCACCATACTTAACCAATCTGAATGCTGGGCAAATAATCCGAGAAACTGGACTACATGAAACGAGCATTAGGATTAGAAGAAGACTTATTAACAACCTGCAATATGCAGATGACACAACCTTGCTTGGTGAAAGTGAAGAGGACTTGAAGCACTTATTGATGAAGATCAAAGACTACAGCCTTCCGTGTGGATTACACCTCAACATAAGAAAACAAAAATCCTTACAACTGGACCAATAAGCAACATCATGATAAAAGGAGAAAAGACTGAAGTTGTCAAGGATTTCATTTTACTTGAATCCACAATCAACACGCGTGGAAGCAGCAGTCAAGAAATCAAACGACGCATTGTATTGGGCAAATGTGCTGCAAAAAATCTCTTTAAAGTCTTAGAAAGCAAAGATGTCACTTTAAGGATTAAGGTGAGCCTGACCCAAGCCATGGTGTTTTCAATTGCCTGATATGCATGTGAAAGCTGGACAATGAATAAGGAAGACTAAAGAAGAATTGATGCCTTTGAATTGTGGTGCTGACAAAGAATACTGAATATACCATGGACTGCCAGAAGAACAAACAAATCTGTCTCCAGAGAAGTACAACCGGAATGCTCCTTAGAAATGAGAATGGCAAGACTCTGTCTCACATACTTTGGACAATATTATCAGGACGGACTAGTCCTTGGAGAAGGACATCATGCCTGGTAAAGTAGAGGGTCAGCGCAAAAAAGAAAGACCCTCAAGGAGATGGACTGACACAGTTGTTGCAAAAATGGGATCAAGCATAACAACCATTGTGAGGCTGGCTCAGGACCGAGCAGTATTTCGTTCTGTTGTACATACAGTCCCTATGAGTCGGAACTGACACGACAGTACCTATCAACAACATTAGTCTTACAGAATTTTACTAAATAGTACTGAAAGAATTTCTGTCGTCAAGCAGTATGAAAGACAATATAACCTAATAATAACAAATATAAATTCTTTCACAATGGCACCTGAAATTATAATATTTTAACTGTATGTTTAATAATCAGAGGAAATAAAGCAGTATAGTAAGACTATGAAATGAGTATCTGAATTATTCATTTAGGTTGTCTCATCTATCTGAATCACTATATGATTCGTATGTGATAATATCTATTATAAAAAGTCCAAATGAAGCATCTGCCACACAAAGGTACCTCTGAGATATTTAAATAAGTCATTCAAAGTACTTATCACAGTAGCTGCACACATAAAAATATTAATACACGTTAACATTAATCACTGTCACTCAATGACAATGGAGTACGAAAATACATAATTGAAACAGAATATCTAGGCATGAGGCTAGGCATATTCTGGTATAGTTTGGTTTGCTTATAAACTTTCAGAGAAAAGAGCGGTTTTCACCCCTGAATCAAGAACCATTTAGCTATACATAGTTGAATCCTTTCCCTGGAGTAAACCAAGGACCAGAGAGAATTGCACAACTGAACCATATCACTAATTTCTTTTACTGAACTGTATTCTGGTACTGCACTTTAGCACTAGCTGCTTTGAGGCAACTGCATAAAACAGCCTGATCAAACTTCTGTTCAGGAGACTTTTGCTTATAACATTAAAGAGTATTTACTTTTTGAGTTCCCAATGCATAAATTTCTTTCAGATTTCTGTATCAGTAATAATTGTACATTTCCTGAGTAACTGGTTTGTTTTTATGGACACTAAATCTTTTAAATGACCTTGTCTTCCACTTACTGTTGGTTGCTAAAATGCTTAACATCAACTCCATTAAAAATAGAAGACTACAAGGCAAATATTATGTGTTAACTTCACCTTATCAAATCTTACTTCTCCTTTGTCTTTATTTCTCTATGCCCTTTCATTTTTAAATTTTATCTTATTTGCCTTTTACAAAAAACTTTGGAGTAAGCAAAATATACATGACTTAAAAGTAGAAAATGATGACGATTCAATTTATTCTGTCTCGGTATTGATTTATCCACAAAACTCTTCTAAAACTAGCAGAAGGCAATTTCTAAGTGTCAAAACATAACAAATATTGTAATTTTTAAAGAAAAATAAAGATGAATTCTATTTTTAGCTACATATTAAATTTCATTTTGTAAAGTTTAGCCATAAACTAATTTTAAGGCCTTAACATCAGTTCTAAGCAAACCGAAAGACAAGGAAAGATAGAATAATACCCAGAGCATATAGCTTTTATCAGTAATTTGAGTTTTTACTTAAAATACATAGTTTTTATTTAATTCAAAGCCATTGTATTAGATTTTTTCATTTATTAATGTTTCAATAAGTTTGTCAGTATAGTGGTCATAAGTGGGTAATTTTTCTTTAAAGGACAAAAATACTTGAAATGAAATGGAAGTCACATAAGAGTCAGAAAACAAAAGCAGTACTTAAAGAACAAATCCCTTGGCCATAAAAGTACTCACGTTACACTATGTTATTAGTGTTCTCAAATTATGTTGTAGAGAAAGTTCTACACAAAAATTTTTAGTTATACCTTCTAAATTTCAGCAACTTATTTACAGTGATGATGTTTTCCTAAGTTTACCACTGGATGGAAATCAACTGAAATCATACTCTACCTAACGTCCATTTTTACTTCAAAACTGTCCAAAAGAATTTTTCAATTCCATTATAAAATTAGTTTTCAAATCTTCTGGGGAATCCTGAAAACCCTATTTAGCCAAAATTATTTAGCATTTGACACCAATTTAAAATATCTGTGTCAGTATACTCTTTCAAAATAAAACACATAGCACTTCAAATATTATTTCATTACGAGCACTGGCTATGGCTCAATGAACTTATTAAAAAACCTATGCCATGATTATGCTTGTCATCCTATATTAATACAATCTCTTTAAATGTCTCAGAAGAGTGACTGACTAAATCTAGGCTGTTATCTTATGAAGAAAGATATTCTGAGACTTTTTTTTTAATTGCTGCATTTTTTACAGTAACAAATCTTTTTCCAATAAGTAATAAGAAAAAATGTAAGTATAACAGACAAACTAATCAAGGGGAGGTGAAGTTCTGCTGCTTCTGACTACTGACCTAACATCCTCTCAACCAGCCCTTCAGTTTGCTCCTACTTCCCAGGAAATATAGATATGGAAAAGGTGGAAGGACCATACACTCTAGTGGGAGTGCCACGCGGTAATCACAGGGATCTTACAACCAAAAGCATAATTTTACAAGTTCACCACTTATCTTTGCCTTTATCTTAGTATCAAAGCTAACTAATCCTTTTCTGTTGTTGGTCTTATGTTATTAGATACTCTCTCATGGTCTCGAGGATTTAATTCAAGTAACATTTTGAGTACCAATCCCAATTCTCTAACTTTGACAAAATCTTGTAAAGAAACCATCTTTAGCAAGAATTTATTTTCCATTCAACTGTATTATTTATACTCCTATCTATATCCATTTTATTTGCATAATTAAAATAATTTTAACAAAAAAACCTAAACTGCCTATGTACAACACAAGAGTACCATTTATACCAGGGGTCTGTGCAAACTACAGCCCAAGGGCCAAATCCAGTCCACCACCCTTTTTTGTAAATAAGCTTTCCTCGAAACACAACAATGCACTCATTTGTTTGTTCATTCATTTATGTATCATCTATGGCTGCTTTTGCACTACAATGGCTGAGTTAAATAGCAACAGAGACCCTCTGGCCGGCAAAGCCTAAAATATTATCTAGCCCTTTACAGAGTTTGTTGATCCTTGATTAGATACCAATACTAATTACTTGTGCACATGACGTTGGGCACAGCCAAGAAAACCCTATGGAACAGTTCTACTCTGTAACACATGGGGTCACCATGAGTAAAAATCCATGGCAACTTTTTTATCTAAGGAAAAGAAGTTCCTTTACAAATGATTTAACAATGTCATCATGACTATGTAAACTAAACATACTAAAAAGTGAGATACTAAGTACATTCTTTTTAGTATTTTAAAAGCACAGTAAACATACTGACATCAGTGAAATTACTGTATTTCAGTAATGTCAGAAAGTCAAAATTAGCTAAGGCCAGTGGTGCTTCGGAACCGAAGAAATCATGCCTTCCCTTCCAGAGCACTTTCAGAACTCATTAAACATAAATATTCCCAAAGTGTTCCTTTTAATTAAAAAATGTATAAGCTTTGGCCAATGACTATCCACTTGACTAACGGTGTTACCTTATGAGTCTTTACTTCCAATCTCAGCATGTATGAACAGTTCCCCAAAGAACTTTTCTCTATACATGCTAAGCAAAAAACATAAAACACTCAATGGGGAAATGAAAAGGGGCAAAGTGGTATATATTTATAAAATGTTTTGGAAGATACTCAATTTGATGTGAAGAAAACAGGAACCTCATCAATAGGTCATTCATCTAAAATGTTTGTTAAAATACTGGGGAAGCCAGCACAACTTGTCCAAAACAAGGTCATGGAAGCTCCATAGACACATCCTAACTCCCTGAGGGACCAAATTACTGGGCTGAGGGCTCTGGGTACCATGATCTCAGGCAATATCTAGCTCGATTGGCATAACATAGTTCATAAAGAAAATGTTCTACATTCTACTTTGGTGAGTAGTGTCTCAGGTCTTAGGAGCTTGTAAGCGGCCATCTAAGATACTCCACTGGTCCCACCCCGTCTAGAGCAAGGGAGAATGAAGAAAACCAAAGACACAAGGGAAAGATTAGTTCAAAGGACTAATGGACCACAACTACCACAGCCTCCACCAGACTAAGTCCAGCACAACTAGATGGTGCCCGGCTACCACCATTGACTGCTCTGACACAGAGCACAACAGAAGGTCCCAGGCAGAGCTAGAGAAAAATGGAGAACAAAATTTCTAACTCATAAAAAAAAGACCAGACTTATTGGTCTGACAGAGACTGGAGAAACCCTGAGAGTATGGCCCCCCAACATCCTTTTGACTCAGTTTTGAAGACACTCCTGAGCTTCACCCTTTAGTCAAAGATTAAACAGGCCCACAAAACAAAACGAAACTAAATGGGCACAACACCCCAGTGGCAAGGACGAGAAGGCAGGAGGGGACACGAAAGCTGGTAAGGGGGAACTCAAAGTCGAGAAGGGGAGAGTGCTGACACATCGTGGAGTTGGCAACAAATGTCACAAAACAATATGTGTACTGTTTAATGAGAAACCAGTTAGCTCTGTAAACCTTCATCTAAAGTATAATAATAAAAAAATATAAAAAATAGTCTGTTGAATGCCCGAATAAAAATAAAAATTTGATCAGCTGGATAAGAAAAAAATCAAATTTATTTTTACCTAAAAAAGAAGAAAAGAAAAACTAAACCTGTTGCCACGGAGTCGATTCTGACTCATTGTGATCCTCTAGGACAGAGTAGAACTGCCTTATAGGGTTTCTAAGGAGTGGCTGATGGATACAAACTGCTAACCAAGCTCTTAACCACTGTGCCACCAGGACTCCTATTTTTACCTAACCAAAACACCAGCGACCATGATAAAGACTTAGACATTCAGCAAAGCCTTTTAAACAGGACCAAAGTTCACCAAGCCATCATAATGCTTTAATCCCTCCACGAAGTAGAGAGAACAAGATGGGTGTTTCCTCTCCTCTTTTCGTAGCTTCACTCCCTTTGGGCAGAGTGGCCTCTGGAAGCTTGGTTCAGCACCATCAATCCTCCCTCTCAAATCATTATTACCAAAATGTCTTTTAGGGTCTCAGTTTCTGTCAGCAGTCGCATTCGCGTAAACAGATTCATGGGGAATCAAATGCTCAAAACGGAATAGAACTGCTACTCAGAAAGACAATTTTCAAAAAGGGACACGAAAAATTGGACACAAGTTCAAGGCCCATATTTAAAAAGGCTCCCTGCTCTAATTTAGGCTGCTCATTAAAAAACGTAAAATCCACAAGTCTTTGGAGACCAAAAGGGAAACGGGGCGAAAAGCAGGTTCTGGTGAGCGCGGGAAAAAGCGGGGCGGCTAAGGGGCGGACCAGGCGCCAGAGCCAGCAGCAGGGGGACACGAGGGCGCGACAGGTGGATGAAAAGAACGGCGGGACGTGGGCGCGCACTCACACAGGTGGCGGGGCAGGTCTGGCCTGGAGGATTTCGGAGGTGCCTGGGACAGAAGCAGCAGGAAAAATGAGCGCAGACATAGAATCGAGATTACACTGAGAAGCGGTAAGGGGAAGAAACGAAGGGGGAAAGGCATGCGATGGGTACAGGCTGGTTTCTACAGCTGTCCTTTTTTTCTCCTCAAATGACTCACCAAGAAAATCACACTGAGAAGACGGGGGAAAAGAAAGGAAATGGGAATGAGGGTCCAGGACCCGCAAAATCCGCCTGAGGAGACGGAGACCCCCGACTCTGGTGATCGCCCCGGCTAGACCACAGCTTCTGCCGCACGCCGCGCCTCGCTAGGCCCTCCCCGCCCCCTCGCAGCCGACTCTGCGCCTGCGCCAGTGCCGGCTTCGGCGTCCGCGCGCCACACCCACACACCCCAGCAGCCTCGCACGTCACTTTCCTCTCGCGCTCCATCCGCTCTCCACCCACCCCAACACGCCAAGCGCGTCTGGTTCTTCCTGTCTCTCCTGCTGTCGAAGTTGGCGGTGCATTTCCGTGGGTTCAGCGCTCGCTCCCGCCCCCGCCGGTTTTCGGGTCTGCGCACAAGAGCCTTTATTATGCTACGCCTGCGCCCTGGCTGCGCTTTCCGACTCTCTCCAGTAAAAAATTTTTTTCTTTCCAAATATAGAGACAGAAAAGAGTAAAATTACTAAGTGGACGCCATTCTCCACCCTGCTACCCCCAAAGGCACATATGAACAGTAGTTTCCGTGTTGAACTTCTCGGGTAGAAAAAGGCGCTTCAGAAAGAGGGAAGAAAGGAAACCTAGCCTTTCACTTCCCCGGCGCCTAGTAACGGTTTCCACGGCAACCGCATTGTCAACAACGCTAAGAAACTCCAAGGGGAATAGAAAGGGTATTTTCTTCACAAGAGAGGACAGTTAAGAGGGGGCCAAAGGGGAATTGTGTGAAAGAGAGAAGCCCTGGTTTCTTAAGAAGGCGAGGGAGTAGTAAATGAAAGGGAAGGAGTGAAGGAAGGGACGGAGATACTAGTATAGTGAAAAAAAAAAAGTTGCTAGTTTTTAAGGGATCATTTGGTGGCCATGGATCCAACGTGCTCTTCTGAGAGCATTTATAACCTCATACCCAGCGGCGCAAAGGAGCCTCTCCAGCCTCCTAGGTATGTGGGTAAGCAAAGATTATGGCTTGAAACAATAAATAGGAATAATTATTCGATTTCAGGATTAAGTAAGCATAGATGTCATATGGCTTTTAAAAAGAAATAAAATACACGGTTGTCTTTACGTTTGCTTAGGGTGACAACTTCTTAGAGAAGCAATAGCAAAATCTAATGTATTGAGCATTTGACAATTAACAGGGCGGTTGGGCTCTAAGAGATGACCGTTTTATTACGTAAAACTTAGCCTCCTGTTAATACGATATATAATTGTTTTGTGATTTAAGTGTTCGTGCAGGATGTGGCATATAACATATTGGAAATTTCATGTTGGTGTTGAAAAGAGAAAATCACAATTTTATCACCCTCTGTTGGATACTGGATATTTAGTTTTAGGAGTTCAGTGTTGTATTTCTAACTGCACTTACTACTCCAACTCTAAGGGGATAGTACTTATTTTTTTTTTCCTAAGATTATTTTCAAATGTAAATTCCCATTTGTTTCTGAGCTTTAATCATTTGATTGGTAACACAAAGTAGGTGGACTAGATAATGGTTAAGGTCTCTTTCAGATTTAATAGTTGGATGGAAGGAAGAGTAAATGGATTGATAGAAACACAAATATGTGTAATTGAGTTAAAAGGTTTACCTAAGTGGTAACCAAACTCAAACCAGTTGCAGTGGAGTTGATTGTGACTCATGATGATCCCGTGTGTGTCAGAGTAGAACTGTGCTCTACAGGGTTTTCAATAGCTGATTTTTCAGAAGTAGATCACCAGGGCTTTGTACTGCGATGCCTCTGGATGAACTTGAACCTCCAACCTTTCGGTTAGTGGCTGAGTGCTTAACCATTTGTGCCACCCAGAGACTTTTTTGTGCAGGTGCTGTTGTTATTTTGTGCCACAGCAAGTCAATTCTGACTCCTAGCAACCCTATATGTCAAAGTAGAACCGCATAGGGTTTCCCAAGCTGTAATCTTTACAGGAGCAGATCGCCAGGTCTTTTCTCCTACAGAGCTGCTGGTGGGTTCAAACCACCGACCTTTTGGTTAACAGGCTAGCAATTAACCATTGTGCCACCAGGACTCCTTTTACATAGTTGCTACCTGTTGCTTCAACAGGTATGATTCGGGCTCATAAATTCTGCAAATCTCAAAAAAGATAAGCACAAAGTAAGCACTCCAGTTACTCTCCTGTGTAGAGGCTTCTTAGAACCTTTTCGTATCTGTGGGGATAAAAGAAGCTAAGTAATGGAGAAAATCTTGTTCCTCCTAGGACTTGAAATGTTTGCTGCCTTTTATGTTTCTCCTTTCCTTATACAAGTCAAAACACATTGGAAAAGCACTGTGCTAAAATAATAATAAACAGGTTCTACAACTAATTGGTTTTGATGTCTTGAACAAATTTTCATTTGTTTCTGAGCCTCAGTCTTCTGATCTATAAATCAAGCTAAATGCACTAGTTAATTTCTACGGTTTCTTTCAGATCTAATAGTCAATTATTTTTACTAATGGTTACTTAGGGTACATAATAACACCTTCAACAAGTAGGCAACTCCTTCAATTTTAAGCCTAAGTGAATATCTGATTCTAAGCAGTGCAGTACCTATACTGTATTTCTATTAGCTTCACAATTTCTAATAGAGATTGGAGAGAGGAAGTACGGTAAGCTCTGATACAGTTGGAGGGTTTATGAATATTCAGATTAACCGAATACTCCTCTCTGTGATCATCTGGTAAATTGTATTTTCTATAGAGTATAGCATATGAATATTCAGATATTTTATTAGTTATTCTGTTCATTGGTGAATTACAAAGCTTTACTGCATCTAGGTGATTTTTTTTTCAAAAAATATAACAGGAACAATCTTTATTCATTTGACAAGCATTACCTGAGCTCCTATTGTGTGTATAACATTTCCCTAGTATATCAGTTCTTAGGGATTGTTGGGCAGCACAAACTCCTTGGTTTTACTGTGAAGGGAAAAGGACTTGCAGTCAAAGAGGTAGAAGACATCCCAATGTGGTGCCAAAAGAACCCTTTTTGTTAGAGTGAAGTCAACCCACAATGTCATCAACAACCACTAAAAGCTTTTAATTTGACAATATGGGATACGTGCAAATCATTAATTTATAAAACATTTAACCAATTCTTTCTCAACACACCAACATGAACTCATCCTGACCCAATCTCCTTACTAATAATAAGAATTAAACATAACAAAAAATAAATGTATTAAGCTGCAAAGAAGCCTATTTTCATTACTGAATTATAAACCCAGCTCCAGGAAATCTCACAGCAGCTTTCTTTTGCAGTACTGGCAGGATGATTTTCCAGCTTCCACAAAGAGGTGGATTCCTTGGGGGAAATCAACAACTGATTCCACTGTGATCTCACACTTCAGAGGTTATGTAGTCTACTTGGGGAATTGAAAATATAAACATTAAAATGTCGATTAACAACAAAGCAATATGTTGTTGAAAACCCTAATGAGAGATGCAGGCACTAGATGCTAAGAGAACCTAGAAGATGGTATATGTGATTGAATGTATGGTATATGTGACTGATGGTATATGTGACTGAAGTGAAGGGACTGGCACTTTCTAACAGTTAATTTATGAGCTGGGACTTAAGATCTGAAAGGGTTAAAGTCTATGGGAAATCATGATTCAATATTCACAATTTGAGTTACTCATGATGCATTACGTGGTTTCCAATATCTTCACCAAATTCATCACCCTTCTATGGATGGCTCCAATTACTTAATATCACCAATTATTCTCTTTCCCATTTGATTAAGGCAATATTCCAGTATGGTTTGAACAGTCCATGGAACCATTACGTCTTTCCTTGATACACGATACTTTTATTTATGCAGCCTACATTCCCATTAGCATTTTGACAGTCATGTCCCACTGTTGGCTCACATTGACATTCCCACATAAATTATGACTAAATTTGGCTCATCCATCCTATAATTTTGTAGCTGATTCTTTTCAATCTGAGTTCGTCATTAATCTATGGAGATAGTTTTGAATTATGAATATTTCACACATTCTGTTAACCTGCTTTGTGTCATTTACAAATCTGATAAGTATGCCTTTTATATCTCCATCTGTCATTGAACAGGGCGAACACTTTGTACTTCAGTAGGCTACTAGAATACTTCTCTATAGACATCAATTGTTTTGTGAGTGTTCAGTCAACCACCCAAATGGATCCATCATTCGTACCATCATCCAGTTCATATTTCTCTATCTTTTCAGGCTTTGCTACCATCAATATGCATATTATTATATTAATATATTTCCCTGATCTATGAGTCTAATAATCTTATTTTTAAAAAATGATGTTCATTGCCATGACGTGAAACTCCAAATGGGTTAATGCAAACATTGCTTCTCTACATTGCTTCTCTATGAACCTACTGAAATTCTCTCTATAACTCTTTCAGGAAAGAGCATCAGGCTCACCAGTGTAGAATTTCAGAAAGAATACTTTTTGCAAATGGAAATATTTAATGCCCTAAGCACCCTTTCCGTTTTTCATTTGGATTAATATAATTTCATTTTTGGAACTTCCCGTTCTTCTTGGACTACCTCCCATTTATTCAATTTCCATACTGTTATACCTGTATTTTCTGAAATCTTTGTAACATCTCCTGTTTAAAGTCTGATTGTGTATCTGATTTAGCTAAGCAATCCCTTCCTTGGCTATTATGAACGCTTAAGATGACATGATCACTTTCTCCTGAGGTTCTTGTCTCATCTACTTTGCTGAACAGTTACAGCCAAGATTTCAACTGGGGAAAGTAGTAGCCTTTTTAAATTAACTTATATTTAAAGAAAGTCAAGAATATTCCAAAGTGTTTGTTTTTTGCATAATGAAATTTTATGCTAAAATTTCAATTGTTGCAATATATGATCTCAGAGAGTTTTAGAATTAGTGTTAGAAACTGTTATTCATATTTTTCATCTGGCTAGGCAATCTGTGCAGCCTTCCACAGTTATAACACTTATCTTCAACTCTCATGTCATTTTTGCCTAAGTGATCTTCTCTTGCTTATATCTTCTTGATTTTTATGTATATATACATACGAATTTTGACCTAGACCTCAGAGACCTCACTGTTCATATGGACGATTTGAAAATCACCAAGAAAAGCAAGCAACAACAGATGTCCTGTAATAAAATCACATGAAAAATGTAAATGAATTGAAGGCCTGGGAAACTGGGTCATGGAAGGGAAAATTGAAGAAGGCACTTTTCCCCTTCAGACATGTGGACAAGAGGGGAAGGACATCCACAAACAAGACTTTTGTAAGCAGGGAAAATTTCAGCTTCCATGTGCATTTACTTGTTTAATATTTGTTCATTATGTGTTATTGCCTCTCATGTAGATTTCTATAACATTGTGTTAAAAAGTATTAGCAAACCCCTCTGTCATTTCATATATTCCTAAAAGTGTTAAGAGAAGAAAATGTACCAGCAATATTCCATAAAATTAGTTGCCAGGGAAATTTGTGGAAAGGTGCGAACTTTTGTGAATGTTAGACTTTTTTGGAAGCTTATTCAACTACAGAACAAGGTTCAATATCCTAAACATAGTGTACAATATATTGTATTATAAAAATCTGTTTTTTACAGGTCATGAAGTATGTCATCCCGTGTCTGTCTCATAATAATCGTTTACATACCATGACTCAGATTTTTAGACGATAAGACTGTGTCTGCTAGGACACAGGTAAAATCAAGTAAAGTAAAGGGCTAAACAGTTTTTAAATTTAATCACAATGGATATCCAATAATAATACAAGAATGCTACTACAACGACGACAAAGATTACTACTAATATGTTCAGTGTATTAGTGTTTACAGTGTACCAGGTACTTTTCTGTTTTTTTACAATTTTTATTTTATTTCATTCTCACAATGACCCTATGAAGGGGGTAGTCTTATCCCAGTTTTACAGATGAAACTCAGGCCCAGAAAGTTGAGGCAGCTAG